AGAGCTATTGTACTACTTGACTGGTAAGAAAGAGCTTTCATAAGAATTGGAAGACTCTTGTATATACGATAACCTTTTCTTTCGTTGTTGGTGGACTATTGGCAGAAAGGCCGACAGGAGCAACATTTCTTATTGCAATTTTCAAGTGCTTGGTTTCTACTAGCAGGGATGGCAAAACCATGTTGTTCAGTTGCTAGCATAAGCCAAGAAACGTACGAACAAAGTGATGGGCCTCTTTAGAAGATAGGGCAGCATTCTCGTGGTAGTAATTACGAGTATCTCTCCTCTTTTCTTAACGTGCACAATTTGTTTACACGCCACCTTAAGCACATCTCTCTTTCTTAGTTTCAAGCTGACCTAATGATAATGAATGAAAGCCAATCTTTTAGTAAGCATATATAAGCAGTTGTGTACTGTATAAGCAATTCTCGCATTGAAAGGTATGTGGGTAGAGGTTGGCTCTACAGCATGTTCCTTACCACCCTATAGAGTAATAAGGAAAGGGCAAGATTCCATTTTCCAAAGGCTCTGCTCATGCTGGCCCCCAAAATATAACTCATTTTCCACTCTCTCATCTAGTGTCTTAGTGCAGTCTTCCATAAGATAGTTTATCTTACCACGACAAAAAGATTGAAGGGAGGCCCTCATATTTGAAGCACTTTCAGAAGGCACTGCTTTCTTCACCAATCATAACACTCGAAAAGATAGGTTTCTACATATCTTATTCATTACATACACTGGCAAAGAAACCACGATAGATCTGTGATTATCTCATAGGGGCAGTGCTTTCCCTTTTGTTATAATGGAAACAATTGCAATCTTGCTCCCACTATTCAAAGGGAAGACCAAGAAGACAAATGAATCTAGACCAAGGTTGCCTCGGGCCAGTGAATAGAACACGATCAATGTAATGGATAGGGTGATCTCATGAACTGAAAAGTCATTTGCAATCTTAACTTATTATCTATAAACATGCAATCTTAACTTATTATCTATAAACATGAATATTTCTTGAACTAATATATAACGTTTTTTATATTTGATTACTTTATTTAACGATGACAATTTTATTGGTAAATTAAGCCCTTGTATGGAAGCCATCTTCAGCAGATTTTTAGCAAAATTCTGCCCATTATACAATAATAAGGCAACTGCATTAATTGACCAAACCAAGCAAAATCACCTTTATACCCTTTTGACATTTATTTTATT